GTGGGGTGGGTTGAGTTGGGTTATGTTGGGTTGGCAGGGTTGAGTTGGGTTATGATGGGTGGGTAGGGTTGAGTTGGGTTATGTCGGGTGGGGTGGGTTGAGTTGGGTTATGTTGGGTTGGCAGGGTTGAGTTGGGTTATGTTGTGTTGAGTTTGTTGGTGGTTGGATAGAGGTAGGTGGCCATTGCCTGAGTCATGGTGGTCAGGAAGACCTCTCTGAGGAGGCAGGTTGAGTTGAGACCTAAAATATAGAGAAGGCAACCCTCCTGGGTAGAAAGAACAGCTGGGTGGTTTGATGATAGCCCATTGGTTACATAGCTGTTGATCCTGTTTCCTCTGTGAAATGGACCTTCTAGTGCAGAAACCAACCATCCTCTCCTCCAGGAAAGGGCCCAGATGCTCACAGCACAGAGAGCCCCAGGGACACACCTAGAGACTTCTTTCCCTCCCCCTCCCGGAACCTTCTTCCTTCACCCCTCTCACAGGACAGGGTAGGGTCTGACACGGATGTGGATAAAAGCAGAGTTAGTCTGGTTGAGGACAAGGATTTGAAAAGCAAAATCCCAGGATCTCATTGGCCTCAGATGAGGAGAGCCTGGTGTGGCGGCTGGTCAGGTTCAGCCCTGAGACTACCCATGGCAGCCCCTGCTCCGCACCCCCGTCCCCAGGTGGCCCCCACTGACCTGCACTCGGGCCTCGGTGAGGTCCGTCCTCATGGCCAGCTGCTCCCGTGCGTACACGTCCGGGTAGTGGGTCTTCTGGAAGACCTTCTCTAGCTCCTCCAGCTGGTAGCTGGTGAAGGTCGTGCGGTTGCGCCGCTTCTTACCCTTGTTGCTCTCTGAATCGGCCTTCTCCAGCGGGCTGGGGAGGTCCGCGCTGGCCCGGTTGGAGGGGCCCTTCACCCCAGCCTCCTTCACACTGAGGTAGCTGTTGTCCATTGCCACAGTGTCAGAGTCCGGCGGTAGCTCTGGCTCACCCAGGGAGCTCTCTTTGGCTGAGAGGGGAGGAAATGAGGTCAGAAACCAGTGGCTAGACCAAGGATGGGAGGAGGGAGGGGCCGGGAGAGCTATTCCCCAACCCCACTCCCGCCCCTTCCCTCAAGGCATATTGGGTCAGGAGACCCCGTTTTACGCCAGCTTGACATGAATGTGCTCTATGATCTTGGAAAAGTCCTTTCCCCTCCCTCTGTGCCGGCCAGCACCCATGTGATGTGAATCCACGGCAGCCCGGTCTGACCTTATCACCTGTCACCTGCACCCCAGGTGCCCTTCTAAAGGGACCTCCTCTGTCAGAACTTCTTTGGCCAGAGAGGATGCTGGCCCGGTGGCTCTGACGCCCTGCATGGAAGGGAAACTCCTTTTGAGTCTGTCCGGGCCTGCTGGGTTGGGGACCGCAGAGGGGAAGCCAGCTTTGAGACGGAATGCCCTGTTTGGGGTCCAGCAGGAGCCTGGGTCCTAAGTCCATGGCCGAGGGAGAGCCGTCTCCTTGCCCACTGCTCCATGTCATCTGTCTTCCACCAGGTGGACCTTTCTTCCCGGCAGGGGACTGTGGAAGCAGGGCTCCCGTTTCCCTGCCTGGGCTCCCCAGGAGGCGTCCGGGTACTGTCCTCTGCTGGCAGCCTGGTAGGTTTGCCCAAGCCCAGCCACCTGACAGGACGGAGCTGTGGGCCAGCTGGCTCGGTATAAGCTCTGAGCTGAAACCAGGCAAGATGAGGATGAGGAGGCTGGGCCGGGGTGGAGGGTGGGATGGGGCAGGGGCTTGTCCAAGTTCACGTAGCCCAAGCATCAGCCCAGGCAGACCCCCTTGCCCACGGCACAGCATGGGTTCTGGAGCGTGGCCCACCCGTCTACCCCCCCACCCCTGGGGGGACTGAACTCGGCGTCGATGGCCCTCCAGATGTGTGCTTTGGACAAACCCTATACCCTAGCATCGCCTTCCTCATAAAAAAGCCATTCCAAGATCTATCTTGGATGCAATGCTTGTCCATGATAGGTTAGTCCTATGAGGAAGACCACACAATACAGCTACTATTCAGATTTCAGTGCCAGCCCATTCACCGACGTGTGCCTTGGTCTCCCCTTCTCTAAAACAAAGGTATAGACACTCAGAGGGTCTCCTTTACACGGTGAGTGTGAGAAAGAAAGAAACTCAGACTGAAAACTCATAGCCACCGAGCCACCATGACTCAGAGGGACCCCACAGGGAAGGACAGGAATGCCCCGTGGGTTTCTGAGACGGCAATCCTTTCTGGACCGCCTGGGGGTGGTTTGAAACCACTGGCCTTGCGGCTGGCGTCCCAATGGGAACCACTATGCCACCAGGGCACCCCACGAGAGAAGCTGGGGCTGGCAGGTGGAAAGAGGGCATGTAGTGTGCGATGGTGGAATGCCTACCTTCTAGGCCAGAGATCTGAGTGCCATTCCCAGCAAGTGCACCTCAAACACAACTTCCACCTGTCTGTCTTGTCTGTCTGCCATGGTCCCAGTAGGTTTCAGCAGCGCTTCCAGTTCAACCCAGTTGAGCAAGGATACTGGAAGTACCAGGGACCATGGAAAGAGCAAGCACGTCTGTCTTGGAAGAAGTATGGCTGGCCACAGGCTCCTTAGCTCTGCAAGGGTGCAGATTTCAGGAGAGACCAGTCCCTGGGGGAGGACATCCTGCTCAGTCAAGTGGATGGAGGGGCAGCAAAGAGGAGGAAGCCCCTTGGCAAGATGGGTGGACACAGTGGATGGATGGACACAGTGGATGGAGGATGGACACAGTGGATGGATGGACACAATGGATGGAGGATGGACACAGTGGATGGATGGATACAGTGGATGGATGGATACAGTGGATGGATGGATGGACACAGTGGATGGATGGGATGGACACAGTGGATGGATGGATGGATACAGTGGATGGATGGATGGACACAGTGGATGGATGGGATGGACACAGTGGATGGATGGATACAGT